ACCAGTGCTGTTGATTGACTGTCCTCTGGCAATGCACCTTCCTCTTTTGCTCCTCCTGGATCAAGGCTTTCTGTACAAATCTTAAGGTCAAGTCATCCCCTCTAGCCTCTAGTGCAGTCACTAGTGTTGAATAGCTCTTAGGAAGACTCCCTAGTAGCGTAATAACCTGATCCTGAGTAGAGATAGGAGCACCAATTGCTGCCAGTCGGTCTGTGATCTCTTTCATCTGCTTAAGATGAGCTTCCATGGACATGCCTTCTTTCATTTCTGCTCGAAAATACTGCTTCTTCAAGAACAGCTTGTTTGCGAGCGTGTCTCTTTCAAAATGACTTCTTAAGGTGTCCCAACTGCCCGTGGATCTTCAGTTGAAGTGATCAGGTACAACTGAGATGCACCAACTGCCATAGCAATATAAGAGAAAGCTTTGAGCGATCTTGTGGCGTAAGCAGCTTGTGCTTCACCATCAGCATCATCAGCTAGAACATCTGTCCCGTCAATGATCCCCCACAGTCCCTTCAGTAGCAACATATGCCGCATGTGGAACTTCCAGGTACTCCAAACTGTTAGTATCATCAAGTTTATCTATGGTCCACTTCTCCTCGGTCATAGTTGAACTGCTTGTCTAGACTTTGTAAGGAATGTTCAGAACTGACTAGCTACTTGATCCACTGATTTAAACAACAATTGCACAGCGTGTGGGTCCTGGGCTCATAACCTGTTGTAAAACTGCAGCTTTGCAGAGTACACGATCACTCAAAAGCAAATAGCTTTATTGCAAATCACAGAAAGAATTAACTGAACTGACAAAACAGTAACTAACTAACAACTGACTAACTGACAATTGACAAAAGACTGACAAAAAGTCACACAACATATAGCAACTTACAATAGAGAGCACTAATAATAACTATGCAGATAATTCTAGAACAACCACAATAAGAATATCTAGAACATAGAAGAATAATCAAGATGGTACACATAGACATACATCAATACTATTACAAATCATAAACACAATATTAATTACAATAATAATAATAGGGTTAGCTAAATGAACCATAAAATTGACAAAAAATTAATACTCCATGGAAATTACTAACCGTATAAAATATATTCATAATACCTATGCACTGATTATAAGCACTTCCTTTAGCAAAGCATGTTTTACTTTTTAAATTGATAAGTACGTGTTTTTTATAAATATAATCATAAAATAATTGTATCAATATATAGTATGATAATACTCCATTACACTGTGCTAGTGAAGCTGGTAATGCTAATATTATCAAATTATTAATAACTAAAGGAAAAGCTGATGTGAATGCTGTGAATAAGGTAAAGTTATTGACTAAATAGTTTTAATTGTATCATTTAGTGTTGTATTTATAGGACAACAGAACTCCATTGTTTAATGCTGTTGAGAGTGGTAGTATTGAAGCTGTTGATATTCTGTTAACTAATGGAGCTAGAACTAATGTTGTGTCTAAAGTAAGTATTAGTCCAAGCATTTTAGTGAGTGAGCAAAATTTTAAAATGACATGAATTGTGTGTGCTTAGTAGCAATGATGTGTTTCTTGTACACTAAATGATTCTTCATATATTGAGTCACTAAGAGGTGGCCATTGATTCATACTCATTAACCTGCATACTTGTGTACCCTTGATTTTTGTATCAATTAATTTTATTATTTATATAGTATTTTGGTACTCCACTACACTGTGCTATTGAAACTGGTAATGCTAATATTATCAAATTATTAATAACTAAAGGAAAAGCTGATGTGAATGCTGTGAATAAGGTAAAGTTATTGACTAAATAGTTTTAATTGTATCATTTAGTGTTGTATTTATAGGACAACAGAACTCCATTGTTTAATGCTGTTGAGAGTGGTAGTATTGAAGCTGTTGATATTCTGTTAACTAATGGAGCTAGAACTAATGTTGTGTCTAAAATAAATATTAGTCCAAGCATTTTAGTGAGTGAGCAAAATTTTAAAATGACATGAATTGTGTGTGCTTAGTAGCAATGATGTGTTTCTTGTACACTAAATGATTCTTCATATATTGAGTCACTAAGAGGTGGCCATTGATTCATACTCATTAACCTGCACACTTGTGTACCCTTGATTTTTGTATCAATTAATTTTATTATTTATATAGTATTTTGGTACTCCACTACACTGTGCTATTGAAACTGGTAATGCTAATATTATCAAATTATTAATAACTAAAGGAAAGGCTTATGTGAATGCTATGAATGAGGTAAAGTTATTAAATAATTAGTCTTAATTGCATTGTATTTACAGGACAACAGTACTCTATTGTTATATGCTGTTAAGAAAGGTAGTATTGAAGCTGTTGATATTTTATTAACTAATGGAGCTAGAACTGATGTTGTGTCTGAGGTAAGTACGCTGGCATGTGTCAAAAATTAAATATTGTGTGTGCTTGGTAGTGATCTTGTGTTAATTTCTTGTAAACAAAATGATTCTTCATATATTGAGTCACTAAGGGGTGATATCCTTAGACCATTGATCCATATTCATTAACCCATACACACACCCATGCATCAATGAAATATTGTACCCTTGATTTTTGTGTTAATTTGTTTTAATTAATTTGATTATAGCATTTTGGTAATCCATTACACTGTGCTAGTCAAACTGGTAATGCTAATATTATCAAATTATTAATAACTAAAGGAAAGGCTGATGTGAATGCTGTGGATAAGGTATAAAGCTTATTTTGTTATTATTACTAATTGTACCAATTTTTGTTGTAATTATAGAAAAACAGAACTCCATTGCTTTATGCTGTTGCTAGTGATAGTATTGAAGCTGTTGATATTCTATTAACTAATGGAGCTAGAACTGATATGCCAGAAGTAAGAGTGTTACATGTACATTGTACATGTGTACTACATACATGTATACTTAGATTATAGTCAGGTAAAATGAGGCAATTTGATTGGTCAAATGAAGTAATCTAAAAAAATTAGTTACCTCTTAATAACTTCTTAGATTTTTTATTAAGCATTACATGTATTTATAATAATAAGATCATTATTTTTATGAATATTTACAGTTACATTGGTGCAGTTACATGTACATGTATTAAAAGCAATTTGTGCTTCACCATTCATCGACATTTTTTTGTTTGTTGAGTATTTTCACTATTTTGAGTGTTTGCTAAAATATCTGATATCTGGTAATTTGTTCAGCTAATGTCCTCCCATAGCTCCTCACTCAATCAATGCTACATGGTGACCAGTGTGTTCCATTATTAGTTGTTTGTCAACACCTTCGTATTAAACTGGTTGCTGCAGTTGCTCATAAAGAATGATTATTTTTGACTTTTGACTTCTTTAATTCCTCCCATTTTGAACATTTTTTTTGTCATTTTGTCACAAAGTATTGTGACGAACAGCAACTGAAGAGAATTAACCAGCAGTCATGTCTTGGCTTACTCATCGGCTTCAAATAAAATGCATCTGATTGACAGTTTTCTGGACACAAACAATTGTACTTTTTAAAAATTCTCACAAAACAGCGCTGTGATTTTTCTAAGTTTGCATATTGCTTCGCAACTTTTGGAGTTATTTTTCTTTCCTTTAAATTTCTAAGATTGTATTTTAAAATTTCCTCACAGTACAGAAGGTAAGGCATTTGTCCTTCTTCCTCAATAATTTCAATCTGGCAAGGTAAGCATCGTAATTTCCAATGCTCTTTTCGATTTTTCAGTGCAAAGTAAAGACCATTTATATAAAAATGGTGTAAAGATAAGAAGGGAGCTGGGTGAGTGGTCTCCCAGAGTGCCTTTACTCCATAGAGTCTCTTCTTTATTTATTTTGATGCATTCTGCTTTTTTATAGTGGACACTAAGACCTTCAGCTCTAAGCCGTTGCTTAATTCATTTCTCCACCAATAGAGTGGAACGAAAGTCTACGAATTCATTTTTCTTAAAAAAATAGATATTGATGTCACCACTAGTTCTTAAAGGGTAACTTCAGTGCATTTTTGAGATATTTTTTTTATTTGCTTAATATGATTGCCTGACCATACTAATGATGTGTTCCAACTCCCATTGTCTGAAAAAAATTATTCACTGACATATGAGCCTTCAAAAATGCCCATTTTCCCTTCCTGCCAGGTTACTTCCTGTCAGTGGGTGTGGCTAAACGTGACGTCACTAGAGGGATAGCTGCAGCTA